CGTCGAGTCCATATCTAGTCGATTGTCTTTACTCCCAACACTACTCTTCGAGTTAGGCATTGACTCGATGAGTTCACTTCCTAACTGATACTCAATGGTCCTTCATCCAACTCGCCGAGTTGTATGAACAACCCGTCGAGTTAATCTTCGTCCGATGAACACGTTCTGTCCTCGACTCGCCGAGTTGATGAACAACTCGTCGAGTTCCATGAAGATTGCCTTGGACTCGCCGAGTCCGTTCATGCACTCGCCGAGTCCGTTCATGCACTCGCCGAGTACCATGAATTTCCAAAACAATTCGCTTAGTCCAGAACGTTGGGTCACTCCTCGGGACTCCCTAAAACCTTTCCAAACTCAACTGGTCCTTTTGACCCTCATAGATATGGGACAGAATCCTTGGACTCGCCGAGTCCAGGAATGGACTCGTCGAGTCGGTCACATCCCCTCCTTAAAACTTTGATTTCTGATGTACAACACTTGTCCAAAAGATAGATCCAAGCCCCTAAACTCGATCTAGTACGTAAAGTTACAAACTTTACGTGCATGCATGGGACTTTTGAGCTTAAAAGGCTCTAATCTGGTTCTTTTGTTGCATGAGGCCTTCCTTGGGTGCAAAAGCAACCCAAATCTGTCTTATGACTTTAATATTGACATGATCCAGAAGCTCAAACTCCAACCATGTTTGCAAACATGGTTGGCCACCAAAAATGGCTTATAAAAGCCCTAAATCACCTCAAAGAGGGATCTAACAAATAAATGAGCAAGGTTCAGACTTTATACCTTCTGTGGACTGAAAATGATGAACCAAACTCGAATCCTTCAGTCTCCTCTTGATCCTCCTATGCTCTTCCTTCCTCCTTGAGGTCAAAACTCATAAGAATCACTCAAAAGCCTTAGATTTTCTCAAGAACGGCTAGGGTTTGCTATGAGAAGTGTTTGGGAGCATAAAGGGGGAATGGAGGCTACATAAGGTTGCTTAAATAGGGTGCAAACCCTCAGATTAGGGTTTTTGTCCAAATAGAGGCTAGTCGCCGAGTCCGGGACCCGACTTGCCGAGTCCATCACTTAAATCCCGCGTCTCGTCCCGCTTCTACTCGGCGAGTTGGCCCTTCAACTCGCCGAGTCCAAGACCAAAAATGCAAAATAAATATAGATTTAATAACAGAATACGTACCAAGAACTAGGTGCTACACCCGGTTTGTTGGCTTATGTACATAGTAGTGAATCCTCAACCACCAATCAAAATATATGCACATATAACAAATAAACATAAAATCAGTCAACAGACAATCAAGCAGATCTACATATCACTAAACATAACATCATCCTATATACCCGGATACCGATCTAACAGATCACTACAACACGATAACATACAATCACATAAAAGGATATCCAATCCAATGGGCCGACCGTGGTGCCTTCGACCCGTAAGTATAGTGAGGAAAACTCACCTCTCGATCTGATTAATAGCTGATGAGGTCCTAACTCTAAATCTGGGCTCTAACTGTCACCTATCCATCCAAATGACCAATTCTCAAACACAATCCAACATACCCAAAATACCCCTTGCTCACACTTGGTCAAAATCAGGTAAAAGTCAAAATTCCAAAAATTCAACCGAGTCAACCCAGCTGAGTACACCCACTGTACACGTTGGTTGACCAGGTATAGGCTTGTTGACCACGTAAGAGCAACGTACGCCTTGTACGCCCAGCGTACGCAGCTGGCTGCCAAACCAACTCATTAAGAGGTTAATCCTTAAGCTCTTAAGCCTATTTTCCAGATCCAAACCCAAAATGATGTCCTTGACCATAAAGTTTCCAACTTTTAATGACCAAAGCAATACCCATTTACTCGTGCCTATACAATCACTTATTACCTAATTCTGTTAACTGTTATCTTTTTCTAGAAAAAAGTTTATGTAATTTCTTTTAAATTTAGTTTATTGTTATACTCGATGAAAGTTAGTTAGTTATCACAATTAACAAATTAGAAAGAATAGGTTCAATATGATATTAATTCATTAGTTTTCTTAATTATTTGCTTAACAATTTATTGATTATATATATATATATATATATATATATATATATATATATATATATATATATATATATATATAATCTTTTATTTGTAGTGTTGTTAATTTTTTTTTAAATTTTGTTGAGTTATGTCTAATAATGATTATGACACATTCGTAGTCGGTGTTTGGGATTGCTTCTCAAATTAGCTTATTGATTATTCAAAAACCTAATAAGCTAGAAAAGTATTTGGATTGTTCAAAAATATTTTTTACTTTTTTCAAACAACTTTTTGGATAGGCAAAAATAAATGATTTTCAATAAGTTACAAAATTCTAGTTTTTTGATGAATTTTTTTGCTTCTTAGCGTTTTCTACCACTTTTTACCTCTAAAAAAAGTAAATCAAACACTTTTTAAAAGTAATTTATTGTTTTTTAGCCTTTCCTACCACAAAATCTAACCTAATTACTTTTTAAAACTTTTTTTTAATGCCATAAGACAATAATCATTTTTACCAAATACACTTTTCAGATTAGAAAGCACTCCCAAATACACCCATAATAGTATTTTTAAAATTATGTTTTAAATTTTTGTCTTAATTCTCTAAGTATTATACTTGTTTTATATGTCCTACCGACCCGATAACTCAAACCTTTTAGATTATTTAACTTTGTCATTGTAATTAAACTAGACACACATGAGTTTTAATCTTGAATTCGTCACTAGATTCAACCTCTAGCTCTAATACAAGATATAATAAAACAATAGTTTATGTTTTTGTGAAAAGAAATATATGGTATTTTGTAACGACAAACTCACACACCCATCTAATTATATTTATAAATTTATACTTTTAGTCCATAATACAATACATGTATACGACTTGAAGATTTTAAGAGGGACACATTTTTAGTAAATGATATATGTATTTGTACATACTATCTATAAATTATAAAATGCTTAATTTGCAATTAGAAAATACAAAAATAATAGAAGTATTAATGAATTTTAAAGAGGATATAAAATGACACATTTTTAATATTATTCTAAAAGAACCACTTTAGACAAAACAAACGACCAAAAAAAAAAAAATCAAAGAGTGTATTCCTTTTATGTAATAATTAAGATAAAATTGCAAGAGTGGTCTATGGTTGTCAAAATTATGTGATTTTGGTCCAACAAAGTTTGGTGATACATTGGTGGTTCAATTTCAGATATTTTATATGGTTTTAGTCCATATGGTTGATATTTTTGTGTAGTTTTGATCAATACTCTACATAAAATGACAAATATGTCATTCATTACTTCTTTTATAATTTCTTTTATTTAATTTTTTATTATTTTTATTAAAAAAAGAAAATAAACTCTCTCTCTCTCTCTCTCACACACACACACAAACACACATACGTCATTCTCCTGCACCATCAACTCTAAATTGTGAAGATTAACTCCAAGTTCTTCCCCACCGACTATCGGTTTAGGGACAAGTTGGAAGGGGTAATGAAGAGCAAACTAAACCAAACTAAACCAAAATCAATAACAAAACTCAAATCGGTTTCCATAAAATCAAAGTGGTGGCTCCGATGAAATCTAAGGAAAGAAGAAGCAAGAACAAGATCGAACCAGATCGTAGTTTGTATTTGTTGGTGGCTAACAATTCGATATTGGAAAACTGGAAAATCAAACATATTTGCATCCTCACCACCTAAATCGATTTTTATGTGTGACACTCAAACCCAAAAATCATTTTTTTTCCGGATCCAATGAACTGCCCTTCACCACCACTTAAATTGATTTTTGTGTGTGAAACTCAAACCAAAACAAACAACAAGATCTAGATTCAATATAGAAGGGGGGATGCTGAGAGGAGATGAAATCGACTTTGATGATCTTTTTCCCCAATCCGGACCTAAGTATGTGTTGATTTCCATATCTTCCTTTGTTATCATCAACTTACAGAAGATTTGAATCGATTGCCCGAATCACCTCCATTAATGTTCTCCGCGTTTTCTTCTTCAAACTCGATTGCAGGCCACACTTGAGAGGAAGAATAAATCGACCCATTATTTTTTTTTTTTTTTTTTTTGTTTGATCATAGACGACACATCTCTATTAATCACAACCCCTCATTCTTCAACCTCATTCTTTCTTAATGTTTTTTTTTGAGTTGCAGTTTGATCAGAAGATAAATGGAAGAACAATGCAGATGGGAATGATGGGTTCTCGATGGCGGTGATTTTTCATGGTAGGTTGAAGATGAATATGATGGTGACTGTGTGACGGCTTAATTTTTCTAGACACAATTGATGATTTTTGGTGGTTTGGTGGTGGTTATGGTGGTGACCAAATGATCTGCTTTGATAAAGAATGGAGGGGAGTACGGGGCGTTCTTCATGTTCTTAAAGGAAGGATCTGCTTTGATAGAGAAGGAAGGGGAGTACGGGGCGTTCTTCATGTTCTTAAAGGAAGGATCTGCTTTGATAGAGAAGGAAGGGGAGTACCGGATGTTCTTCATGTTCTTAAAGTGGATCTGTTTGTGAGAGAGAGTAAGAGAAGCGCATATATTTTATTTTTAATTAATTAAAATATTAATTTAAATAAAAATATAAATAAAACAGATATAAAAGGTATAATAAACTTTTCAAGGTGATAGACAATTAGACACCGATATACGAAAAATTTAAATTTAGACCATTGATTAACCAAAAAAAAAAAAAAGGACCAAAACGAGAAGCACATTCACCATTTTGTAATTTTGTAATTTTGTCAATAATTAATTAATTTTTGTCCGGATAAAGATCCAAAAAAGTGGCCTTCCTAGTTCCTTCTGCAGATACCAACTTTTCAATCACTCCTCGTTGGCATTACCAGACAACCAACCATCTTCTTGATAGGGTTAGTCAACTCATCCAGATTCACATAAACTTTTAGGCAACAAAGATCCGAATAGGAGATCCTTCAAGCATTAACCTTCAATGGCCTCTTCTTCGATTGCATCCATTCAGAAAAGCTTTACATATGATGTATTTTTGAGTTTTAGAGGTGAAGACACACGCACCAATTTCATTGATCATCTTTATAATGCTCTTCAGCAGCAAGGCATTTATACTTACAAGGATGACGAAGCAATTAGAAAAGGGAAAAGGATCAGTGATGAGCTCATCAGTTCCATTAAAGACTCAAGATTCTATATCATTGTTTTCTCCAAGAACTATGCATCTTCAGCTTGGTGTTTGGATGAGCTTGTGATGATAATGGAGTGTCACAAGACGACTGAGCATACTGCATACCCCATCTTCTACGATGTGGAACCGACAGAGGTCCGGAAACAAAGCGGGGCAGTCGGAAAAGCTTTTGCTAAACATGAAAATGATGAGGCTGCTGGGAAATGGAAAGAGACTCTAAAAGAAGCCGCAGATCTGGCTGGATGGGAGTTGAAGAACACTGCAAATGGGTAATTGCTTCCTTCATCGATCATATCTTTGTATAATTATTCTTTAATTTTGATCACAAGATCCCATTTTGACCTGCCGGGACCCCTTTTTTGTGTAGTTTGGACGGGGTTGTTATACCTGACCCGATTTTGACCTGCCGGGACCCCTTTTTTTCTTATCAATTTTAACCAAACTTCCGACTTACGAATAATTCCTAATAATTCAACCCTAAGGAAAAAAGATGTTATTTGAGCTTATCTATTAGTTTAATTTCCAATCTGTACGGTTATCACTATTCTATTATCATATCTCAGCAATATTCGTTCATTTTGTTTGTTAGTAATCTATGTCTGAAAAGGTCATCCAAGACATCTCATGTTGTATGGTTATGTTATTATTTCATATACTTGTGTTTTATTATAGGTCACGTGGGATTTTGAGCAAACTAACTGAAACTTCTTTAATATATAGGCATGAAGCCAAATTTATCCAAAAAATTATTGAAGAAATTTCACTACAGTTACGTTCCATTGATTTCAATGCTGATGAAAAACTAATAGGCATGGAGACCAGGGTAAAGGATGCTGTATCATCTTTAGAAATTGGTATTGATGATGTTCGTGTAATCGGTATCAAGGGGATGGGAGGTGCTGGGAAGACAACTTTGGCCAGAGCGGTTTTTGATCAAATATCCTTTCGGTTTGAAGCTAAAAGCTTTGTTGAGAATGTTAGGGAAAATTCAAATACTTCTTTGTCTGGATTGAAATCGTTGCAAAATCAAGTCCTTAAAGATGCCATATTTGATCAAGGCATCAATGTGAGTAGTGTTCATGATGGGAAAATCATGATGAAGAAGAAGATGCGTAATAAAAAGACTCTTCTTGTTCTAGATGATGTGGACCATATTGACCAGCTTGAGGCGTTAGCTGGTGATCTTAATTGGTTCAAACCGGGAAGTAGAATTATCATTACAACAAGAGATGAGCAGGTGCTTGTGGCACACCGGGTGAAGTTGATTCTTGATGTCAATTTGTTGTCGAGAAAGGAAGCGTTTGGGCTCTTCAATAGGTATGCATTTGGGGGAGAGATTTCAATTCAAGGGTATGAAGAGCTATCGGAACAAGTTATACGCTATGCTGCTGGTCTTCCCTTAACGATAAAAGTTTTGGGTTCATTTCTTTGTGGTAAAACTAAGAGTGAATGGATAGATGCACTAGAAAGATTAAAAGCAATTCCATTAAAGGAAACTCTTCAGAAATTGGAATTAAGCTACATCAGTCTTGAGGAAGATTACAAAGAAATATTCCTAAATGTTGCATGCTTACTGAAAGGATGGTTGAAAGACTTGGCAATCGAAGCGCTTGAAAGTTGTGGATTTCATGCAACAAATGGTTTAAGAGTGCTTGAGCAAAAATCTCTTATAACTATTAGTAAACGTTATGAGGTTGTGGGCATGCATGACCATATTGAAGAAATGGGCAGAAATATTGTTCGCCGTTTGCACCCAAATAAGCCTCAGAAACACAGCCGATTGTGGATTGACAATGAAATTAAAGATATATTGGCTAATGACTTGGTAAGGTCAAGTTTATTTGTAAGTTTTATGAAACTAGCCTATTATGCATTTCTTATGACACAAGTTTCATGGTGACTGCTTTTTCATTACAGGGTACTAAAGCAACAAGATACATACAATTCAAGTTAATGGGAGGCAATTTTGAAATTGTTATGAAGGGTCTTAGAAAGATGAAGGAACTTAGATTTCTTCACATATCTGAGAATACAATGTGTAATTTTCTGAACTCAATATATAATTTTGGGGAAGAAAGGAAATATGATAATGTCATCCAATACTTTCCAAATGCTTTACAATATCTGCATTGGGACGAGTACCCTTTATGGTCTTTACCCAACACATTTCAAGCAAATAATCTTGTTGTCCTTAGGATGGTTAAAAGCAAAATAGTACAACTTTGGGAAGGGGGAGAAAGAAAGGTAGAATTATGGTTGATTGATTGATTTACATGATTCATCATGATGCTATGCATTCACTGCTTTGTAATTAAACAAATATTGATCTTGTTCATTTGTTTATCTTAGGTTCTTAACAAGCTCAAAATTCTTGACCTCAGTTATTCAAAGTTGACGACCCTTTCTCTTGAGCTTAGTCCAAATCTCGAGGTGTTGTCTCTAAGAAGATGTCGTGACTTGGTACAACTTCACATCCTCAATGGATGTCAAAAGCTCAAATCCATCGACCTCAGTGAGTCAAAGTTAAAGACAATCGACCTTCACCCAGCTGTGAACCTCGAGCTCTTACATCTTAAAGACTGCAATGCTTTGGTAGAACTCCGCTTACCAAATGGGCGTCTAAAGCTCATATCTGATAACCTCAGTGGTTCTAAGTTGAAGACCATTGACCTTCATTCATGTGTGAATCTCGAGCTTTTACATCTTAAATACTGCCCTGCCTTGGTAGAACTTCACATGCCTGGTAAATGTCTGAATCTCAGATCCCTGACCCTCACTAATTCAAAATTGAGAACCCTACACATTGGGTGGACTCCGAATCTGGAGGATTTAGATCTTAACAACTGTTATGATTTGGAAGACCTTCACATGGCTGATAAATGTCTAAAGCTCACATCCCTCAACATTAGTCATTCAAAGTTGAAAACTGTTGACCTTGGGTTGACTCCAAATCTGAAGAAGTTAGATCTAAAAGAATGTAAGAATCTGGTACAACTTCATGTTCCCATTGGATGTCTAGAAAATCTTGTCTACTTGGACTTAAGTGGCTCTTTCGGGTTTACATCTTTTTTGTTTGACAAAAGGAATGCTGCTTCTAGTAGAAGGGATGAATCAATCGAGGTTTGTCCTTTAGCTGAGTTACATCTGATTGCAGAATCCATAGAGAGATGCCCACTTCACCCCGACAATACTTTGCAAAGGTTTCAGTTTGAATGTTTTTACAAAGATGATACCTCAGTGACTGGGAATCTTGAGAAGCTTATTTCTGAAGGTCTGTGTGCTTGCACAAACCTTGAGACATTTTCAGGAAGCATTTGTGGGTTATGGCGTTTAAGAAAGCTTAAACTCGATGCCAATCCGGAGGCTCCCAAGGAACTTGACCAGGTGGAATGTCTAGAAGAGCTAAGTTTTTCTAGGACAAATATGAAACATCTTCCGGATAGCATTTGTATGTTGAAACATTTGGAAATTCTTCAACTTAAATATTGTTGGAGTCTTGAGAAGTTACCTGAGGATCTTGGCCAATTAGAATGTTTAAGAAGGCTGACTTTGTCATCTGCAAAGATTAAACATCTTCCTGATAGCATTTGTAAGTTGAAACATCTGATATTTCTTGATCTTATAGATTGTTTCTTTCTTGAAAAGTTACCCGAGGATCTTGGCCGATTAGAATGTTTAAAAAGTCTGACTTTGTCATCTGCAAAGATTAAACATCTTCCGGATAGCATTTGTATGTTGAAACATCTGGAACTTCTTCAACTTAAACATTGTTGGAGTCTTGAGAAGTTACCCGAGGATCTTGGCCAACTAGAACGTTTAAAGACGCTATATTTGTCTTATGTGGAGATCAAACATCTTCCAGATAGCATCTGTATGTTGAAACATCTGAGAACACTCAATCTTATTTGTTGTTCTTCCCTTCAGACATTACCAAAGGATCTTGGAAAATTAGAACGTTTGGCAGGGCTATATCTTTCATCCTCAATCGTCAAACATCTTCCGGATACCATTTGTATGTTGAAATATCTGGAATGTCTCAGACTTGATGATTGTAAATTACTTGAGAAATTACCGGAGTATCTTGACCGATTACAACGTTTAGAGCAGCTAGGCCTAGGGGGGTGTAAGATTTTACAAGATATCCCAATCGGCATCTGTAAGATGAAATGTTTAAAATGGTTAAATGTAGCAGGCACAGGCATAAGTCGTCTTCCGCATGACATTTGTTTGTTGAAAGGCGTGCGTATTTTAGGATCGAGAGACCTTTTTCAATCTTCTGGTTTTTCATCCGAGATACAAACTGAAGATACCTGTTGTGTATATGTGTAAATACCACAAGGAAAGAGTCTATTAGTATTAGTGTCCCACATCATGATGATCTTGTATGTCTCTATTTATGTTGGAGTCTACCCAATCTTTGTAAGGGCTCTTTTGGAGCGAAAACGTGACTCTACACAAATATCAATGTTTGTGGGGGAGTGTTAGTGTTCCACATGGTTCGGCATGTCTCTCTATATGTTGGAGTCTATCATCTCTCCATGAGGACTTTTTTTGAGGGTATATGACTTAGCGATGCTCCCATGGCCTAGGAAAACCGATTCACAAAGAACTATTCTAATAGGTACTTTCTTTGAATTTATTTAGAGTCTTATATTTGAGTTAAAACCATCAATGTCTTGACAGATCCAAATACAATCTCAGAATTGATCAAGAATTAAATAAAAAAAATCATAGAAACGCATGTGGATTTCATGCAAATTGTACTTCACAAGTAAAACTTGTATTCCCTTCTTTTTCCCATTTTTTTTTTATTTTTATATTTGTGTCGCTATCAATCCTAACATTTAAATCATTTCTTGCAATTTGGAATTTGATGTCCAGGATGCAATTGGAACACATGCGAGGACTTTGCATGTGAAGCTATTGGGTAGAAAAGGAAACATCACTAGCTTTTGAGTGGGAATTGAATAAGTAAATTACAATGGGATAGGTTGAAGGATTCAAGTCATTGCGACTTCACTAATTCATGGTTTTTAGTGAACAGAGTTGACTTCTTTAGAAAGTCTTGATGACAATGGTGGGAAGTGGGAACTTTGATATGAATTTTTAAATGGTCATGTGAATAATATGTTAAGTAACAGTTTTTGCGTAATTTAAAACCATAAACAAGTTTTTATTTACACAAATTTGTTGGATAGTATGGATTCATTAAACAAAAGATGTTTGACTTTTGAGTAGACTATTGAATATGCTTAAATAATAAGATTTATTTGCAAATTACATATTTCAGAAAAATGTCTAAAGCCGGAACAGGGGTTGAAATAGCCATCGCTGAAGCCATGTAATACTACTTCAAATACGAGCAAAATACAAGTTCAGACATAATTAAGCTTATTATACAATATCAATATACAACTTACAAATGTTGTATGTCATGTATGGCTGAAACAAGTGATATTATAAATATGATAAAATGATTACCTTAATTGACTGTGCACTAATTATTATAAAGGAATTAAAAATTTAGAATGCACGCTCGATTTGAGAAGATGGCTGCTGGTATGACATCAACAACACTTCATCGATCGTTAAATAGATAAATATCAGCATATTGATAAAGAGCACTTGTTATCTGTATTATTCTATTAATCTTTTTTATTTATAGAAAAGATTAATCGTACGGTAGAATTCTTTTTTTTTTTTAAAAGGAAAATTATTGTTTTTCCTATCTTTGCCAAATGCCATTTTCACATTATTTTATTATAGAACTCAACTCGTGGCCGTCATCCATGATTCATCGTTTGATTATATTTCAAAGCAATTATTTTGTTAGAGCATTGGGTGTGGGCAACAAGGTGCAACACCACTTCACATGCCATATAAGCAAGTGGTGTTATAACACCAAGTGGGGAAATTAGCAACAAGATGCAACAAGATGTAACACCAACATTTTGAAAATAAATATTTCTATTTTTGTATTTTTTTTACTATTTCGTTTTTTTTTACTTTTTTTTGTTTTTTTTTTTTTCTTTTTGCGTTTGTTTAATAACTAATATATTTTTTTTATAAAACATATAATTTTAAAAACAAAAAAAAAACATAATATTTAAAATCTAAAATCCGATTACAATTAAAAAAACATGGTTTTAAACCTAAATTAATAACTAAAATAACATTGAAATCACTACTAAATACCACACACAAATCCTAATTAACCCAAATATTTTTTCCTAATTTGTTCCTTCATTGCTTGTAGCACCGCTAGATCAGCAGGTGCTAAACCCTCCTCGCTTGTCCGAAGAATTGACAACTGTTGTGTCATTAGTTCCCTATCTTTTTGCTCCTGCTTCTCCCGTGCCTGCCTTTCCAGAAATTCCAAATGACGACGTTTCAACTGATTTTTTTCTTTTATTAACAAATTATGTTCGTCGAATTCCGCTCTCATTTCCGCCGCATCTTTTGCTCTCGTCTCCACCTCCTCCGCATGTCTTGCAGCGCGCCTCGCTTTGTCGCGTCCGGGTGGTCGTCGTGGTGGGGATATCTCTTGGATATCATATGGGATCTCATCGTCATCGGCGTTTAGGTCGATGTTAGTCCGTGCGTCCGACACGTCGACCGAACTAGAATTGCGAGACCTTTTGGATTGAACCTCCGACGATGTAGGCGTTTTATTCCACTTTGGATCCACTCGCAACAATTCCCATGATTTTTCAAAGTCGAAAACATGACCCATTTCGACCCGATATTGTTCCTTAGCAACTTTGAACAAATGAAAGTCGTTGGTTCCACTTTGTTGTTGCGCCGCAATCCGGTTGTAAATACCGTTGAATTTGCTGCACCGCTTACTTATCATACCCCATTTGCTGCTCAACATGTCGTTGTTGCGATACGGATTTTTCTTTAATATAGCGTGAAACTTGTCGAGCACCGCCCCCCAATAAGCTCCTTTTTTCATTCCATTTCCGCGAAGTTCGTCCTTTGAAGTAGCACACCAAGCCGCCGTCAAAGCGTATTCCTCCTCCGGTGTCCACCATTGTGGAACGTCTGCATTTTCAGATTCCACCGCTATTGATTTCCCTTTTGATTTTCCTTTCCCTTTCCCTTTCTTGTTCCTACTACCTCCCCCTTCCGCTTCACCCGATTGTTGTGTCGTAGGTGATGGTTGGTTGGTTTGTTGTTGCATCGAAGCAAAAGAAGGGAAAAGATTTTGTTGTAAATTTGGGTTTTAACCGCCTTGATTTCGTTGAAAGAAAGGTGAGTTGGGAAACTGTAGTGGCGGTGAAGCGGGGCTGAAAGCTGCGCCTTGGTATGGGATATGTGGTGAGCCTTGAGTCGATAAAAGGTTGAAATAACCTTCATAACCGGCAAACCCGAGAGGTGAGGTTGTGGTTGGGTTTAATGATGAAGAGGTGTTTTGGTTTTGCTCCATTTTTTTAGAAAAGAAATAAGAATATAGATAAGATTTAAAATGAAATGAGTATATATATATATATATATATATATATATATATATATATTATATATATATATATATATATATATATATATATATATATATATAGATGTAAAAAGGTTATTTTTTTATTAATGTATTTGACCGTTTTCAAACGGTAATATTTCAAACGGTTAAATTTTAGCCGTTTCTACTCGTCTCCGTGCCCACGAGATTCAAATGACGAGAAGCAACGAGATAGGGGGGCGGTGTTCCCCCCGTTACGACGCCGTCACTATGCGCCACGTCACCCGCGTTATAACTCGTGTGTACCCATACCGTTCAGTCTTAGAAAAAGGAGCTAAGAGCTCTTACTACTTCTAGGGCCATGTCAGTACAGGGGACAAAATGGTGATGGTGCAGGGCAAATTATATATATATATATATATATATATATATATATATATATATATATATATATATATATATATATCCCTATTCTAATAAAAGAATAGGTTTCATCTTCTATTGACAAGTGTCATACAATTATAATATCTCATTAATGTTATATATCCATTATCATGCCACTTGTCAACCTATTAATTATTCATTTAAAATTTCAAATTTTAAATTTGTTCACTCTAATTACATTAAACTAATAATTGATAATTGATTCTTTTATTTAAATTTCAAATTTTAAATTTTCCCACTCCAATTATATTAAATTAATAACATTAGATTGAAAAAGAAAATAAATTTAATACATATTATAAAATGATATAAGTTCATGTATTTATTTAAATCAACGATTATAATTTTATATAACTAAAAAAATTTCTCTTAAATAATAATTTATTTAAAATAATTAATTAATAATTTTGACTTTTTATATGAAAGTTTAATTAATTTTATAACCATGGTTCTCACGGGTTATAAACTATATATATATATATATATATATATATATATATATATATATATATATATATATATATATATATATATAAGGTTAGGTTATTTTGTTTATACTAACTATTATATGCCAGAGTGCACAAATCTGGACCAACGAATGGAATTCATCAATGGACATGATTTGAGAGTGTATGATATTACAAAGGGGTAGCATGTACCATATAATCATACAAATTTTAGTAAAAAGGTATTTTGGACAATTAACTACAATTATAAAAGGAAATTTTCGGATATTTATGGATAATTAATTCTCCTAATTTTAAAAATATGAATTTTTTTAATTAATTCAATTTTAATTATAACATAATTTGTAAACATAACCGATTTTATTCTGTCAGAATATTTTTTTAGTTAGAATGATGCTCTTTCAGAATTTTATTCTATCAAAATATTATTGAAGAATAACAAAGTTCTTGAATCTGGGGTTGGAAAATAACAACATTCTAATATATTCTTATACATCCAAACTTATATACAAATTCATACATATTCTTACAGACAAGCTAGTCTTATACATTTTAATATAATTATACATATTCTAAAAAAATATTAACAAAAATGAATAAAATTCTTAAAGAATAACAACATTATTAAAATGTGAGTGTGTTCAAATTTTATTCATTCTTCAAGTTATGCCTATTAGGTCTTCAACACATTCTTCCAGCCATTCCTATCACAAATACATCAAAAACTAATAATGGTTAAATACATATTGTTTGCAATTAACTATCACTTTATATATTCTGGTAGAATACATAAAATATATTCTGACAGAATACATAGATTTTATTCTGGCAGAATATATTCTGACAGAATACCTAGAATACATTCAAAAGTATCGTATTTACTGCTAATATAATTTTAGATTCCAAATACACAATAACAAGGGAGAATAGAAATTGGAATTCAAAATCATAAAATGAACCAAAATAATACACAAACAAATTACTTACCTTTTTAAACAATTTTCTAGAACAAGAGCTTTCACCAATCTATATATGCATATGATATTAAGCCTTTACTATGTTGGTATATGAAATCAAACAAAATTAATTCACTGTGTTGGCATATGAAATCAATCTCATCAGTATATACATAGCATATGGAAGACTACATAGTATACATTCTAGCAGAATATTGCCCATACTTTCTTTGCTTGTGCTCCTTCAAATGGTTTACCTGTAAGTTACAAATCAACAACACAGTTACTTACTCAATTTTCATGAGATGAGATAACATAAATTAATTTCATGATCACTCTTTTAATTAGGCCTATTGAAATTATATATCTATATGATGCAAGAATTGAACCAAACAAGATTAGTGCACTTTACACAAACATAAATTGATAATTAAACCAAACATAATTGAAAGGTAAACAACTATTTGAAAAAGTAAAAACAAAACCATTACTCAAAATATAAGAACTATCTAAACTCAGTAACAATTCACTTAGGACCATAGAAAAGAGTTTTTAATGGACAAGTGACAAATTACAAAGTAAATCTTCATTTAGGCATTTAGTCGAACACTTGGTGTTCAGGAAAAAGGGACTTGGATAACTAAAAACACTTCCTGGGAAACTTATATTATTATCAACAAATAAATGGTCTGACTGAAATCTATCAGAAGAGTTAAAATATATAATTTAAATTTAACAAAAAAAAATCGATTAGAACCCAAAAATCGCAAAAATAGAGGCTTTAAATTGGACAGAAATTGTAAAAGAAAGATGATGTTTTTTTCAACCCTTTGAATCGACTTACCAGATGGCCGAAATAGATGCTACATACGAGATTGAGAGGATGATCGGTGAGCTTTTGTTTCAGCGATTGA